CAGTATTTATATTGTTTTTTTACCTCTGATTCACCGCAATGTCTGAACTGTCCTGAGCGGCGGCACGTCCTCGACAGCCGGCGAGTGACGCGTCGTCTTTTTGCTTTACGGCAGATAGCAGACTTATACGTGCATTACCGCCACCTATCTCTCAAATGGACCATTGACACTCCTAATTGAGATTGTAGATAGAGTGTCAATGGTCCATTTAAGAGATAGGTGGCGGTACTGCACTTATAAGTCTGCGATCTGCCGATCGTTGCGTGTCTTTACACATCAATGTATCGTCACGAGCCGCAGGGTTTAATTTGGTTTTGTTTGTGTATGTTTTTTTTACTCTCAAAGCCGTGATTCCCATTCACTTCCATTATAAGACTGATAGACTGCAACGGTTTGAGTTAAAAATCGTCTCATTCCCTCGGGGAACCATGGTTACATGTGTAACCTAGAGACATTCCCCTTCAGGAACTCGAGCTGCATCGAAACGTTATGGGAACGTGTATGCCCACGCCGCCAGACTTACAAATCCCTGCCTAGTGTGGAAGAGCACAGCTAAGGCGAGAGAAAGGGAGCCAGGAGTGGCGCAGAATGCAGGTAAGAACCTGACAAAGTAAGCGGGGTGGACATCCCGCAGCGTCCTGAAGGCCAACTTCTGGAGGAGTGAGCCTTGACCCCCAAGGGAGAGGGGAGATCAGCGGACTCAAAGCTATGAATAGCATCCTGATCCTCAGGGGCCACACCCACAGTCCAATACTACGGGCGGGGGGAAGGCCCCGCCTGAGAGAGGAGATCCATCCTGTGCCACGAGAGATGGCGGCCGCTCTACAGACCGTGGGCCACTCATGACCGCTCCCCAGCCAGTGAGGGACGTGTCCGTTGCTAGCGTTACACGGCGACAAGGAGCTCCCAGCACCGGGCCCTGAGACAAGAACCAAGGTCTCCTCCACATGTCTAAGGCACGAAGGCATAGCCGCATGACCTTGATCATGCAAAGCGGATTTCCCCTCGGGGAAAACCCCTTGGTCTTGACCCACCACTGTAGGGGTCTCATGTACAGCAGGCCAAAAGATATCACGTTGGACGCAGCTGCCATCTGACCCAGCAGTTTTGAAACTGCTTGACAGTGGGTTACCGGCCCTCCCTCACTCTCGCGACTGCCGTGAGGATCGAACCGAACCGAGCAGGAGACAATTGTGCCTGCATCGAGGCCGAATCCCACACCACGCCCAGATAAGTGGTTCTCAGTAATGGAGAAAACACACTATTCTTGCCGTTTAGTCTTAACCCCAGCACTTTCGTATGGGCAAGAACAACACCTTGATGTTGAACCGCCGTCTGCTCCGATAGAGCTAATATCAACCAAACGTTGATATACTTCAGTATGCAGATGCCCTGGAGTCGCAGCGGAGCCAGAGCAGCATCCACACACTTCGTGAAAGTGCGGGGTGAGAGTGCAAGGCCAAACGGAAGAACCTGATACTGGTAAACTTCGCCCCCGAAAGCAAACCTCAGGAACTTCCTGTATTGGGGAAGGGTGGAGACAAGGAAGTATGCGTCTTTTAGATCGATCGTGACAAACCAGTCCTCGGACCTGATCTGAGACATGACTTGTTTGATTGTGAGCATCCTGAAATACAGTCACATGACTGAGCGGTTCAATTGACGCAGATCTAAAATGGGACGCAACCCTCCATCCTGCTTTGGAACAATGATATACCAGCTGTAGAACACAGACTCTTTGTCGAGAGGAGGGACCACCTCGATGGCCTCCTCCTCCAGAGAGTGTTTACTTCTTGTTCCATTACTAGAGCCTGCTCGGGGCCCACCAGAGTGGGAAGTGCCCTGTTGAAATGAGGCGGCGAAGAACCGAATTGGATTCTGTAGCCTCTCTCTACAGTGTGCAGGACCCATTGAGGCAGAAGCTTCCACGCTGCCAAATAGTCTACTAAGGGAATCAGTCTCTCGAGACTGATCTCTGGT